ATGGTAACTTTTCATGAGCCGAGCAGGAGGAGGGGGGCGATTGCGAACTGCAATCGCCACCTAAGGTCGGCGTTGGCCACGGAAGAGAAAGAGCCTGTATTAGTGCGTTCTAACAACACAGCACTGGATTCGCTAGCCGTGTTTCCACTGTCTCGACTGTAACTAGCACCTCTTGAAGTAGGCCCTTAGAGAGGTAGGCTGGTGTCCAGTCGACAACTCGACGGACTTCTTTTGAAATGATTCGGTGATTCGTATCGACTAGATGTGCAGGAGTAACAACTCGAAATTGATCTAGTTTACCTTTTACTAAGCCAGGTGGATATATACTCACGCACTCCACTTTCCAGGCGCCTCGTTGCTCGGCCAATGTATCCCGCTCCACAGGAGCAGGTTAACGAGTTAATCCAAATTGATGGGTACTTCGAGGGTAGTCGAATAGACCGATATTTATAAACCCTGTCCAACGCTCATATTTTCATGATCTGTACAGTTGTGCAGGCCCGATGATTATTTGCTGAAAGCATAATTTTGCCGATTTTTACCTTTTAATTTGAACATATAAACATTCGCAGAACTCAATTTTATGATTGTCTAGCAGAACTGGAGAGTCCCTTTTTGCGTTAGGCATTTCATTGATAGCCGATAGGGGTATGCAAATCGTTTCTAAGAGTATATAAAATACCTATGTTCCTTTCAGGTATATTTATGTTCAACAGAGATTACTCTTTTAATCAGTTATCTATTTCTTGTGTGAAATTAATTAGTCTGGATAGAAAAATCTTGCTTTTGTTCCTATTCCAATCTGGCTGAGAGACTGCTTTTCATTCCCACTTTAATTTATTTTCAGATAGCAGGAAACGAAATTCTCATCATGATTAGTTTCCTCAAATTTCTTTCACCTACGCTGAGCAGTTAGTATCTTTTGATTTTTTTTTAAATTATTTATGCTTCAAGGTCCAATGTGGGTCCGTAGGTTAGGTGGTACCAGCATTGGCTTCTCATGAGCCTTTCATTTACTGTGGTGGGTTAGTAGCACACCAAGCACGCTGGGTTTTTCGCTGTTGGGTTTGTTTGAACTGCACATTTCAAAGTTCCTACTGAGAATTTACTTGTGCTTTTTACCCCTCTCGTTATCAGGGTTCACTTTTTTGACAATTGACAACGGTCCTATGACGCCTTTGATTGAATTATTTTACCCGCCAATCGCTTTAAGTGCGCATCCGCTGCACACAAACTTCGTTCAGATTAAGACTCTGCTTTATATCGGCCTTGAACGTTCACGAAAAGCTTTAGTTTGGTTGAATGGATGCAAGCAGACATTTTCAGTTTCATTTAATAGGAATATCCGGTAATATCAGTCCTTTATAAGACTCCCAGGCCTCATAGCAGCCAGACTTAACAATAACATGCTGAACCTTCTAAATTTAAAATAGTCATTCTTAGCTAATAGCAATCATCTGGGTCCCAGGTAATTCCTACGGATAGGACTATATGTATACTGATAGAGGGGCCCTCGCCGATCGGATCGCGAAGCGTCCCGCTGTTCCTTGGGCTTCAATCTAAAGCGTTGTCAGTAGCTGTTGTGGTCCTAATAATTTGGGCATAATTACATAACCGACAACGAAAGGAGAGACTTGAGTGGTCATTTCTAGATTTTCTAATGAACGTGCACCGAAACAAACTGACAAAAAATGAGCGCGTATCTTAGTCGTTAAAGTTTTCGCCTTCTGATCAACGCACCACGGGTTAAGGCTCCAGGTGCCGCACGACCTGGAGCTGGGTATGGCCGGCTGATGACGGCTAATAAACCCGAAATGATCATTCCAGACTCCTGTGTCTTTGCCGGCAACATTCTCCTGCCATTTTTGTTTATTAGTGCTCATCTGTTTGGATGGCTAACTGATGACGGCTGATGGCCTTCCAGTTATTTTTTGTTTTTCTCAGTTATATTATTCTATATATATATATATATATACAGGGTGTCCCAAAAATGTATACACATTTTACCTATTTGTAAAATCGGTGTTGATTATAATTTTATTATTAAATAAATGCTAAGATATTTACAAGTTGCATTTTATTTTTTTTCACTAAATGTTCTCAAACTGACGTCCATTTTGATCATGACACAGCAGACGACGCGC